GCAGGGGCCATTTGGCTCCTGTTGGGGGGCCAAATCTCCTGTGGGGGAGGGGACGTAGCCCCTGTGTGGGGGCTGAATCCCCTGTGGAGTTCTGGCCGCTGCCCCTCCCGCTGTGTGCGGTGCACCAGGGCTTTCACTCCCCAGCATCAGTGTGCCAAGGGATAGAGAGGGAGGCCCCACGCAGGCTGATTTGCCCCTGGCTGTGGTGGAAAAAGTGGGACTCAGCTTGCGGCAGTGAAATTGAAAGTGCCACGGTGGACCTTCCAGTTTCACTTTTGCCATGTCGATCGGCAGGGGATACATTAGGTACCAAAGGTTGAGAACCACTCGTCTAATACATAGTACTACATACAGAGCTATCATTTTAGCATTTCTGATAGATCCCCATATGTATCACCTTACACATCCTACCACTTAAAACCATCTCTTAGCTGTCCACCCACTTCCTCAAACTTTATAAATCCTCCTGCAATATTGCTAAATCCTCTACTGTTTCCTAAACCCTTGCTAATTTCTTCTTGTCTCTGTGTTATCTGTAAGTTTTGAAATCATGCAATTACTTTTAACTTCCAAGTCCCCGTTAGTAATAAATATGTTAAATAGGATTAGTCACAGTAGCCAGCTATACGGAATCTTGCCTCTTAAGCCATCTTGAGGAGGATTTACTGCCATTTGGACTGATTCTTTGGGTGTTTCTTACCACCAGCCCTCAATCTAGCTAGTAATGAAGCTTTCTCAAAATGATACCTCAGTGTTCAGGATCAACAGTTAAAAGAGAGAGTTAGATGCAAGTTAGATTCTATTACCTGTCCATCCTTAGTATAAATTCCAGAGGAAGCTTAAAATGAGTTTTACCTGCCTGTTTAGATTTTCATGCACTTTAAATATGAAAATGTACTTAATCTACCAACCAGAATATTAACTCTTCTGTCTTCTTAACTCTAGTTTTTGAAACATGAAATTTCTGGTGCTGTTTGGGTATTTTTGCCCATGAGACATAAGTTGATTATTGATTCTTTGATCTGATTTGTAAACGGTTTTGACACTGGTATTTTGACTCTTTGTTAGAATGTAATTTAAACATGAAAATTATTCTTCATTTCAGAGTTTGAACGTCTATTAGCATTAAGCCATGAAATAAAGAATCCAAGTAAGTAGAACTTTTGAATCTAGTATTTGGTTCCTGAAGTAATATAATTACACACTTATATCTAAAATTCCTGAGCCTCATTTTTCACAGCAAAACTTTGATCATGCTTGCTTATTCATTTAAAATAACATTAGTTTGAATCTTGACTATAGATATAGCCATTTTTATCGTTCAAATTATTTTGAAATTTGGGGGTTTATTGGCCATTGTTGGTGGTATCTGTATTCAGAATACCTACATATTGCATAAAACATGCACTATAAATTGTTTTTTGACTATTAGAAAGCAGCTTAATATTCAGCAAAAGAGAAGAATTTTGGTTATTCTTCCTTAAAATGTTTCAATACTTTGTAATTTTATATTCCTTAAATAATAGGAGTTTGCTCATATTTTGATACATTGTTCCTCTCTTTCTCACCAGGGCTCATGAATTATTGACTTTTGATTGCTTTTCTCATTTAGCAATTCCTCTGAAAACAGAGTTGGCTTATGAGCTTTTTGATAAAGGAGAGGTTCGTTTCTGGCTTCAGGCTGAGCACTTGTCCCCGGATGCAACCTTCAGATTTGTTATTAATGATCAAGAAGTTGAAAACAGTGATGTAAGTACATATGACAGGTAACATGTTTAATCTACTTTTGTATATGAATGATTTAAGAATATATTATCCACTTCACTGATGTTGTTTTGGTAATACCTGGAATTTACCCCATGATGTTATGCACCACATTTCATCTCTTTGGGGCAAAGACATATTTAATATAGTTTAAGGGCCTGGACTGTACACTACATTTACCCCAGTGCAAAAACAAAAGTGTATCAGAATATAAACCTCTTAACTAGCATGCCCAAGGCAGTGTAGAAATTCCCCCTGGAAGAATCAGTATACGTGTCATCCATCTGTAGTTTATCTCAGAAAGTTTGCTCAAGGCAAACAGGCTATTACTTGCTCCCTGCTTGTGGCAAAGTGTTGTAATGGATGTATGTCCTGAAAGTCACTTCAAGACCCATCAGTGAGCCATGGTAAAGATCATCCTTGAATTGAGCAATTGCTTATGACAACAACAGCATGAAACTACCCCAGGATGCTGGTCTGTCCATCTTGGTTCCCACTGCTGGAAGTTATACCGGTATAAATGTGTGGACTGTCTAGCATATTAGAGTACTCACCTGAGATGTGAAACACTAAGTTTCAAGTCCCTGTAATGAATCATATGGAGCAGGCATTTTAAATGTGGGTGTCCAAAATGAATACCCTAACAGACTAGTGGATATTTGGCTGTTATAATGGGACTCTCTCTCTGTCTCCCACCCCATAAGTATTTTTTTTTTGTTCATAGGATGTTTCAAAGATCCAAATTTCATTCCATGTCAGAACAAAAATCAATTTTGAAATCCTCATATTTAACACAAAACAGAAATGGTTTTTTTGTTCAGTCTAGCTTCCAGGCTAAGTATAGGCAGTTCAGTTTTGCAGGTTTTTTCAATTCAATTTTGGAGGTCAGTCTGAGCTAAAAAGATTGAACCAATAAGCAAGTGAATAAACATTCACTTTTGATTTTGGAAATTGAGCCACATGCCTGGAGTGGCCCAGGCCAGAGGCCTGGGGTGTTAGGGCATCTCTCTCTGCTTGGCTGAGCAGACAGTTTGGGTCAAGGCTAGCCCACCTGCCCTGTGAGAAGGGGTTTGTGGGGGAGGTGCAAAGCATCCTGGGGTGCTGGAGGTCTAAATTAACTTGAATCTGGAGGGGATCTGGGACAGAAGTTCAATAAACTGATTTAAACTAAATCAGCTAATTCTGATACTACATCCATCCAGGTTTATCTTAAAACAGTTTTGGCCATTTTGAAAGAAGTTTATGTGCACTGAACTTCTGTTGTGTTGCAGATTTGAAATGGTTTCTGATCACTTATAGCAGTTTATGTGTAACTTCTGTCCCTAGCCAATGATATCATCAAGATCAGAGCCCTCAAATTGAGAACTGAATATTTAAACATATAATACTAATAAATACACTTACTTCCACCATAGTAAACCAAATTTTAACCCCTCACCCCATCCTGAGAAGGAAAAGTACCTCAAGCAGTACCTCGTGAAAGAGGAATGACATATATTGCTCACCAGTGTACAAAATTAAGGTTTAGGGAAGTCTGGGCCTGTTTGCAGCTTAATTTGTTTCAGAGATCCACCTGTGTTAGGGCAGTTTCTCACTGCTGCCTGCATACAGGCCTGGCTTTGAAGCTATAATCTGTCTCTTAAGTGGCAGAGGACATGTTTGATCTAAGACCGTTATCTGCATTTTTGCAAATTCTAGATAGTAAAGAGCATTTCGTTGAATTACATATTGGAAGCATTAATAGGCAGTATTCGTCAATTAGAATATGTTTCCTTCCCTCTTATTTATTTAATCTAGAAATAATAAACTAATGTGCCTGAAAATATGAATATTACTAAGATCTATTCAAGATATAATATTTTGGACTTGGAACTACTTGTGGAACTCAACCATCTATTTTTAGCATGCATTTGTTTTTTGAACTACTGATGTCAGAAACAGTCTCATAGAAACAGAATTGGAGAGGAGTTGCACTATTTAACTTCTTTAATTAGTAACCCATATGTGACATTTACACTTGGAGATTGATTATATTTTTGTGGAAAAAAAAAATCACATAAAACCTGGTATTTATGGCACCCATAAAATCATTGAACAACTTCTTGCTGCATAATGGCAACAGTTAGAAGCCTAATTACATTCTAAAACCTGCCTAGAGACTGGACTGCAGTCACTGAACATGTTCAACAGGCCATTGTGCTGGTGAGAAGGTAGTCTCAACATTTGGCTAGAATTATATAGTTTTCCTTCTTAGGCCTAATTGGGAAACTTCTATGGCCTTGACTCTGAAAGATTTTTTAACAGAATAAGATGGAGCTAACTGATTTAGTTTTGCCAATATTGCTCCTTGTGCTTCAATGCAAAAAATATGAGACATTTAAGAAGGAAGAAAAGGGCCAGATTGGATCCTGCAGGGGTTTAGGTTGTAGCTGTGTTGGTCTAAGGACATAGGCAGACAAGGTTCCTTGGGTGAATTTGATATCTTTTTCCCCACTCCAATTTTCATTCTCACTTTTTCCATTTTGTTTTTGGAAATGCTGATTTCACTCTCTCATGAGATTTGATATGTGCCACTAATATCAGTGGAAGTTTTGCTATTGCCTTCAGTATGCATCAAATCTAGATCTCAGGGACCAAAAAAAAGTCTTTGTGCTTTAGATGCACTATGTATTAATAAACATACCACATAACTAGTAGGCCTTTTATTCTCTTTCATAAAACCTCTTTTTAATCATCCTGATTCATCTTCCCTACTCTTTGCACTTACTTTTTGTATATGCTTTCTTTCTAGATATGCAGATTTCCGTTTTAATTTACTGATTATATCAAGTCTTCTTTATCCTGTAACACTGCATTTTTCTTTGATCTTGGGTAGTAAAGTGCACATCCAAATTTTATGATCTTCTTTTCTTCTAATTTCTCACTATACTCCCTGCATTTTATTTAATCAGTGGATGCAGTAGCCACTCTACTGATTATTCCTTTACTTTTTCCCATAATTTTTTTACTTACATTTATCTGATAGTTGCTTCTATGAGAGTTTACCTTAAATTAGTCTTAAATAGATTTCTAGCCCAATAATCTGTTTTGAAAAATGTGGCCTCTTGACCCTAACAAGTAAAATCTCATTCTTCCTTTCACAAGTTATCCGTGTTTGTATTACTAGTTACCCTGACTTCACTATTCACTTGAGTGAGGATCTTCTGGATTGAGCCCTATATGGGACACTAAAACTAAAATCAAGGGTCCTTTCTCTATTCCTGTTAAAAAACTCTTTTTTCTCTCTTTCTTTTTCTTCCCTCATATCAGTCCCTTATTCCCCATTGTTTTTGTAGTTTACCAAAAATCCACTTGCTTTCCTCAAATTCCTGCTATTCTGACTATTGCAACCAATTTATTTCATGCTTACTAGACTTGCACCTTCTCCCTCCAGGCTGTCCAATGTATTGCCATGAAATCACCCATCGCACTTCTTGTTCCAATCTTTTCAGCCCTCTTAAGATTCTTTTACATCATTTGTCACTACTTGAACACCCATTTAATAATACATTTCCACACATAGGTGGGAGAAGGGGATAATGGATTATAGTTTATTTTATCTACAATATGTATTTTATGCTTCACACCGAATAATGCAGATTCCTGTTTAATTTCATTTATACATTTGTTTATATTTTCAGTGATCTTTTCCCTATTTTTAGATTTTTATTTAGGTTATTCCAAAAGCTCTCATTATTGTTTGTAATATTTAATACCTGTTTCTGTGATTTTGATAGAGCTTTACAAGAGAGAGCTTTACTTTACAAGATTCAGCCATCAGTACTTAACTAAGACTATTTGAATTTTTGTAATGTTTATTAAACACACACTGCTAATCCTGTCCCCATTAGTACATGCTGCAAAGCCTTTGCATTTAAATTCAGGTCACAAATTATCCAAGTAGCTTACTGTAATATTTTCCTGGCTGCATTAGTAACAGGTATTTATCGTATCATTTCTATGAATAACTTTTGCTCTTCAGACAAATAGATTACTATGGGTATCTGCTGTTTTGTCTTATGGTTTCAGTTTTTTGACTGAATGAGCATACATCTTAATATCAAATGGCCACCACATGTGTGTATATCTATGAATTCATAATTTGTAATTTCCATATAATCTTTAATATTTTCTTAAAATGTGATGCTTCCACCAACATTCCTGTTACTTCTGTAGAATATTTAAAAGAGAGCAAATACAAAAAGGGTACATACACCATTGACTCATGATAAGGTTTTAATTCAAATTAAGTATTTGATGTAATTGGATAACTAGGCATCCGATTAGGTGGTGATCAAACTTCTTTGCTAGTGAAAAGGGTTCCATTTGTTTTTCCTTCCTGTAATTATGCTTCACTGCCTTTACCTACTCTTAGGGCATTGACAGATGTAACATCTGAAGCTCATCTGAACATTTGAGAGGAGGCCATTGGGATACTGGGGGGACTGAGCTGATTCCAGTTGTGCTCTGTAGAACATGCACATGTAATAGGAGGCTCATTTTCATAGATCCATAGCATCATAGAAAAGGAGGGCTGGAATGGACCTCCAGAGGTCATCTAGTACAAATCTCTGCATGAGAAAGGATCATCCCTGTAGAAACCACTCTGTACAAATCCATTGTCTAACCTATTAGCAAAATTACATGGTCAACCCTAAGACAAATAGAAGACATAACATGCCAACAAGACATAACATGCCAACATGCAGGGGTACCATGGTGGCCAACATCCTGCTGCTGTTAAAATATGCTCAAGAGATCCAAAGAGGGCCATAGCCTCCAATACAGGAAGGCAGATCCTCGCGCTATTGATATCAATTTGAGCATAGTAAAGTTCCTCCCTGATCCAAGGAGAGAGCGAGACCCTCTAACCAGAAACATTTAAGTTTAAGTCCCAGCAGGAAAATTGGCAATCCCACTCAAAATCCCCAGCCTTGGCTGCAGCC